GTACAGTGTACGATGTGATTGAGAAGCGTGGCGATTAAAGCATTTTTTCTACTATTCGAGAGGACCATGTTCAGCTGAAGATTGTTTACGGACTGGTGAAAGAGCAACAATAGTTAAAGTTACAGCCGATATTCGTCCCACTGCTTGACACAGGCCTCATCACTTCTGAGAGAGGGTTTATGGGGCAAGGAATCATCCGCCAATCTGCCCCACAGGCTGACTATACACGTGGGGCATGTTTTCGTTCACCGCCAAGCACGTGGTAAATCAACACATATAATTGCAAATTAACAACTTCATTGGTGCCGGCGGGGATTGATCCCGGGTTGATCGCATACTGTGAAATTTACAGAGAGCGCTAAGCCCCTGAGCTACCACAATAGACAAAGAATAGACAAGCTGATTATTATCCAGGGTCTAATGTAGGTTTTGAAAATTTTAAAAATAAACAATTTTTGGGCGAGTGGCATTTATTTGCGTTCGCTGGGGGCCGGCCAGTCACTGAACAGTTAAACAAATTATATGAATGGGGGCACTAAGTATAGGTTAGTGATTACAAATTCTATTATTTTCAGGAGTTTTCGTGCGCGTACCAAATCGCACCTCAATTAATTCTAAATGACTACAAATAGCCAAGACACTTCGATTCGACAAGTGTCAGACAGACGCCCTGGGCACTTAGTAAAATTTAACTGTGTATCTTCACGATAAGGTACATTTCACATCACGTGATATTATTATTTTGCCACTTGGAGCATCACTAATCTAGTCAGCCACTAAAAAGAGCACCGTCATCACGCTCATCATTTGTGTCGATTACACGGCAAAATATACTGATGCAATAAAGGAAGTTAATAGTAATTTAAGCCTTTAGATATTTCGTTTATCATTTTTTTCTAAAATCTAATGAAACACGTCACTGAAGACAAAATAGATTATAAATACGTTCAAATTTTCAAGTTTAATTTTTTTAATTGCGATCGTAGTTTTGTATCCTATCTACATTTTAAAACCATTGCCAAACGCTAATTGCTTAGTAATGGAGTTTCATTTGAAATAAATAGAACAATCATAAAAAATACTACCGTTTCGCCTTACATAACTATGATAACATGAAGCAACAAATCAAGCGAAGCTTACTGAAACCGCATAACTGCTACTTAATTGTTTATATGGCGTATGAAGAAAACTATGGTACGGTAAACTCTTGGCTCTTGGATATAATACATGTATATTACATGTCGTTTTAAACACTTCCTATATACATAGCAAGGTACAGTTATTTGTTTTAAATAACTACATAATTTCCCTTATTATGTATATTTGTTTTAAATTTTGAATTGTTTTTTTTTAAGATAGAGAGGGCAAACTAGCATGAGGCTCACCTGGTGGTAAGTGACTACCGCCGGCGCCGCTCATGAACATCGGAACACCAGGGTAATAGCAGGCGCGATACCGGCGGTTTAGAAAGGAGTAAGCTCTTTTCTTGAAGGCCCCTAAGTCGTATCAGTTCAGAAAAATCGCCGGTAGTAAACAATGTTTGACTTATTTACCCTCATAAGAAAAATCGACAGTTCGGTATAGTATAGTACCTATGTATGTAAGCCTCCTAGCAATTCTGCCATTATGGCTGTATAGTCAATGTATGGAAATTAAGTGGTGTATTCGCCATTGATTTTGATACTTTCAAAGAAAAATTGGATGCTAATGTATTATGTAATTTTATGTGTTTCGCAGTCAAATACCTTTTAAAAATAGGTTTATGTATATATACATATATAAGAGCAAAATCGGAAGAAAAAGTATGAAAATACACGTTATGAAATTTTATTTTACTTTTAACACAAATTGGGTCTACCCTACCCTTTTTAGGTAATTGAGCGTAAAGTAAACATACAGTATGTAGTAATAATATTATGTAGCCAGAAGATTGAATCTAAAAATTCTATTGAAGATTTTCAATGATATAAATAGATGGTACAAAATACAATTTTATAAAAAAAAATATAACAATTTATTCGTAGTTCATTAAGTGAATATTTTCCACCTTACTTGATTGGTCGCTCTACACTACGCCTACCGGTACGAGGCTGCCACTCGTGAAACTTTTTGCCCATCGGTTGTCGGTTCTTCGAGCTATATAGCCGGCCCATTGCCACTTCAGCTTACTAATCCGTTGGGCTATGTCGGTCACTTTGGTGTTACTGTGATAATCCTCCTTTCTAAGTTTCTCACGCAGAGAAACTCCGAGCATAGCCTTCTCCATAGCTCTCTGAGCGACATTAAGCGTCCTCATTTGGCCAGCAGTGAAGGGACACGTCTCAGACTCTCGTCTTGTTGCCGTTACCATGGTCGCCACCGTAGACAATGGGCCGGCCAAATACCAAGAATAACCGACGAGACGATGGGAAAAAAGGTTCTTGAGTGGCAGCCTCGTACCGGTAGCCGTAGTGTAGGGCGACCCCTCATAAGATGCAGTGACAACCTGGTAAGCCATGCGGGAAGTCGATGGATGCAGGTGGCTCAGGACCGTGCTTTGTGGTATTTCTTGGAGGAGGCCTATGTTCAGCAGTGGACTTATAAAGGGCTGTAATGATGATGATGCGTATTAATTAAAAGCTATAAGTTTTCCTGTTATAAATAAATTGCACCCAGCAACTCTCGACACAAAAATTGAGCAACGACTGTGACTTAAAAAGAGATGTGTTGGCATTTATATGTGTGAATTGACATTTTAGTGGTTACACGGGTGCCGCCCACTGCACCGTTCTATTGGGTGCGTTTGGCAGAAAAAAGCGCTAGCAAGCGCTTGTAAGCAAAATGGCGATCGTAAGCGCTAAGCGCTGTCAAATCGTAAGTAGCTATTTTCCTCTAGGACACGATGTTGGTTTTAACCAGGGAACCTAACCTAATTTAAATATATGTTTGTAAAGTATTCATATTAAAAACTTACTAATCATGAATTTTTAATAACATGTATATGTTTATACATGTTATTATATTACTTAAAACTAATATTGCACAAAACAACTTATAAACTCTACTTCAAAACAAACAAATTAAATAAGCAAAATGGCGGATTGTGTCAGCGCTACTGAAGTAGCAATCGTGTCCTGGCCGAAAACTATTTTAGCGCTTGTTAGCGCTTGCTAGCGCTTTTTTCTGCCAAACGCACCCATTGTGTATGTATTATAGTATTCTATGTTCATTACAAATGCAAAATACATGGGTTTGTCGTCCAAAGTTGTTGTTATTGCCGTTCATGTTTTTCAAAATCATTGAGGACGTAATATCTACATTATGTTGATACATTTGCGCGGTCTATTATTGGGTGCAGTCAGTAAAATATCTCTGTTACCTCTACATATTTTCAGCTATTATTGTACGCTTGTATGCTCTAAGAGCCTGGTCCTTCCTGTCCCCGTCGAATAGACCAATTCGTGCTAGAACTATAATGTAGGCAGTATGACTCTACTACGTGAATAAGATAACTCATAACTATTTAGCTAAATTATAGGGAAATCTTATTAAGATCAAAAGTACTAATTTAGCTTATATATAAAATTAGCTTTAGTTTGTTATTTGCCAGCGTTCTGTCTTTTTTATGTTTACTTTCGTCTATAATTGACGATAAGTTTCTAAAATGGCGTGTATAATAATACTATAGATATAAAGATAGATTGTAATATAATAACAATCCGTTCTCGCACTGTATTTACCTAAAGTATTAACAATGCATAAAATTTTCATTACCTTAGCGTCTCTATTTGATTACAAAAGCGTAATCCATTGTAATTCATCAAGTCCGACGGAATTAAGAGTCACCGGCCGGTCAAGGGTCAGAGGAACAGTCACGCTACCCGAACTCGGAGCTCATACATTGTTTAGTTTGTGGTACTAAAACTAAAAACGTTTATCAAGACAATTAAACGTTATCATTTATTGCTGGAAATATTATACAAACACATATTTTTTATTAACACCGTTGAAAAATCTATTGTAGGTATAATACAAACAATTCGTTTCCTACGCAAACTAAATTACCGAGTTTACATTTTTCGTTAGTAATCGATGTAAGTACTATATGAAGTAATAAATACTAATAAATTCTTAGTAGCTGCGCGTGTATATCACTTGAGCAAGTGTGTATCACTTCGACAAGTGTGTATCACTTGGGCACTACGACAACGAATATAACCCTGTCCTGCGGAGGTCTAGTCTCCGTTAGGACGGGCCGCTGTGACCTAAATTTGGTCTGCAGGTTATTATTGTTATTAATATCAATTACTTTTTATTTCATTGTTAGACCTTTAGTAAATAAATAAAAATAAATTTTATGTGTTTATCACGATTATTTATCGTGTGGTGTTTGTTGGCTTACACAGCAAGAGAATCCATCACCATAGATAAATAAATATGTAGCAAGCTACAGATACGACAGCGACTTTTAGTCAAGTTTCCCAACTACGCCTTTTGGCGCTGCAGTCGCCCAATTTGACAGATGAGTAATGACGTCATGACTATACAATTTAGTATAGCTTAGGGATTGCAAGCACACAGCCTTCTAATTATCGATATCGATGTTTAGTGGTGTTCTTATTTTGTCGATATCGACATAAGTGCATTATACAGGAATAATAATACTTAATGAAACAATTATAATACATCTAACTTATTTATTTTTTATTCAAGCACACCAACATCATATACATACAAACGTAATCTTAGGATTAAATTAAAGGCACATTAAGTCATATATACAAATTAGAAAATTGTACATAACATTTTACATAAATAAGTACAATTTGACGAAACAGAGCAATATTTACAGTTCATTAAATAAAGCAAATTAAACCACAGGAATCATATTTAAGTGCTTAATATTTTACTTTCAAGTCATTTTTTATTAGAAGCAATGCTATTTATTTTTCATTAGGGGTAAACCTGGGAATTCTTTTACAAAAATTAAAAAAACATCTTCTCTTCTTTAATTTCATTTTCTACACCACGTAACCTGAAAAGAAATAAATAAAAATAAAGTTCAATATTCATATTTTATGACTTAATGATAATCATAAATTGTATATTATTTATATTAAGGTAACAAAGGGTGGCATCATGGCAGTTGCCATTTTTTATTGGTCAACCCATGGTGTGGTGAAAATAAAGTGGTAGATGCAGTAAATAAGAAATAAAAAACATATAAAGATTAACACTGTATACATCCATTATCAGGAGATTTCTCAATGTCTTCAGGCACGGAGTTCCAAATAAGTGTAACCTTAATACTAAAGGAGTTGTTGATAAAACCATTGAAGTGTAGTGGAACTGTAATCTTTAGATTTGATGAAGAACAAAGAACTCTTACCGTGATTTGAGGATAATATGCTGAATATTGATATAATAGATATGTTGAAACTTACTTAATGTCTAAGAATAAACTGAATTTATCATACCTTTTTGCCAATGTGTACATTTTGTATCTTCTGTCAACATTTGTCTCACCACATCAGCATTAGATTTCTGTTTCTGAAAACCAACAATATTTGTGAATTTTGTTCTTATACATAAACCCAAAATTAAAGAATAAATATATAATGTATACTTCTGTATTGTATGTATTAATGCTGTATGGCTACTGTTAACGACAGTTTAGTATAATCATAATTCAAAAGTGATCTATATTATCATATAACTTAATTTTTAGAATTTTATTTCACCACCGTCATCATTACAGCGCTTCACAAGTCCACTGCTGAACGTAGGCTTCCCCCAAGAAATGCCACAAATCACGGTCCTAAGCCACCAGCATATACAGGTCGTCACTTCATCAACATTTTATTTACTTAAACATGTTTTTCTTAACCTAAAACTTTTATACTTCTTTAAGGCCAATTTTTGGGGTTCACCCATTTTAGATACATATTTTTCATCGATATCACTCTTCAATATTTTATTATTTATGTTGCACCAATTGTGTCCATGTAATCTAATTAAAATATTGACGAAAAAGTTTTTGACAATTAAGGCATGCTTATCACACCCTAGGCAGGACAAACTTAAAGTGCTCAATAAATTTCTTTTCAAATTACTTTTTATATTACTTCCAATACAGCTATAATTCAAATAGTTATGAATAAAGTGAGTGCCATCCCTGTACAAGATAAGGAATTTTTCGTTAGGGTATGCCAAATTATTATTTTTTAACAATTTATACTCTCTAAATTTAATGTAAGAGTGAATGTTTGTCTCCGTACTGCTAATATATGTTTTGATGCAATCCTTACAACGAATCGCTTTCGTTATTTTCCGACAAATGTATCCAGCAGTGTAAGCTGAGCAGTGGACTTTAATTTTTTCCATGACTACATCATTCACTAGAAATTTTTCTCCTGAACTTGCTTGTGAAGAAGATGGGAGATCTCGCAAAACACTGGTAGTGCTTTCCGAGTCATTTTCTTTATTATTATGAAGGTTTTTAAAAAGAACACTAACATTTAATAATGTTTCTCCATTATTCTCTTCACAATTAGAGAATTTGGAATGTGGACTAAGCATGTTAGATAATATCAAAGATTTAAAGGCATATATAAATGTGTTTGCATCTGGGTTAACATTTCTATAATTTACAGCTCTTATACGTCCAAAAAAATTCTCTAATGGGTCTTGATTAATATTCCTCGGATAATAATATTCTACATTATACTGTTCAAATAATAATTTGGAGACCCTTATAAAACTTTCAAGAGTTGTAATCCATCCTTGTTGGGATGGCACTCGCACAAGTCGAGGTTTTCCTGCTTTTGTAGCATGTTTGCTACTGGTGTCCACAAAAACCATTTTTTTTATTTTATTAATGGCCTCAATCCAAAAAGTGTGATGTTGTGAATTTTGTTTAACCGCTCGTCTTAACTTTCCTCTTTGCACACCACCCGGGTAGCCATTGACGCTGTCAAACAGTGTGTCAAAGAATTCAACAACTTCTGCTGTTGTGGCCATTGTTGCGTCAGAGTTTGCAGTATGAAAATAATCTGAAAAAAAAGTACTTCTTAATTTAATTTCTTTTACAGTTGGACCTGCAAATCTTTAGCCAAGACACTTCTTATTTGGTTACAACAACAGACTTTTTTAATCATTTTTTTTACAAATTGATTTTTTTACATGAAATTTTACAATGGTATATACATAAATTGAATAAGCCTACAAATCAATATAGCAATCGTTACTTACTGAGTGCATTTGTATATTTGAGCATAGCGGCAGTACGAGCACTAAATACTTGAGCAGCTACGCTGACCTTCATTTTTTTGATCTTTTTGCGATCAACATGATGAGCTGTTAACTTTGGTAGTGCCCTTGTGTGTCCCAATTTGCTATCCAAATCAAAAATGAACTCAATATCTTTCCAAGAGGCGGTTTTTTCTTCCCAAATTATATCTTTATTTAAAAAATTATTTCTTAAACCCTTTAAGAGATGAGGTGGGTCAAAAAATATGCTTAAATCGTGATCAGCAATATTAACTGATCCATCTGTAAAATAATTAAAATAAATAATATTTGTCATGAAGTAGAACTGGTTTTTAAGTAATTAAGTACCATTCTTCCACACCATCATGAACACCTTGAATATTCCGCCTACGAATTGTATCTTCCCTAAGTCTTCTTATTGCTGTTCGAAATGTGGACTCTTGATCACAAACAAGACCTAAAGGTATTAACCCAGTTTGTATTACTTGGGGCACAATCTGCTTTAAAATGCATTGCAGCTCTGCTGCTGATACTGTGCCTTCACAGAAATAAAATGCTACACTCTGTCTCCATGGAGAGCATATTCCTCTTAGCATAAAAACTAAAGCATGATCACAATATTTTAGTTTTCTCTCTCCAGCTATATCTACAAACCCATTAATTATATCATCTTTCTCATTAAAAGTTAAATTTGGTGTCAGAGAGACTTCATCAAAAACTATTGTGCATAGCTTTTGTTTAGTGTCCCATTTTTTTGTTGTATTTGATATATGTTCAAATATTAATGGATTGAGTCCTGCTTGTATTGAAACCTTCTCAGAAAGTCTATTTAATGTCCGTTTACTAGGCAAGGCAAACATTCTTTCTAATAGTTTATAACTTTTGGGGCTTTGTTTCATTATGAGCAATGCCATTAATTTTTCATCTAAGGTAAACCTTCTGGCCATTTTGCTTTTATGAATTTGTTTTAATTGCATAAACAAGAAAGTCTGAGCTTGTTTGTTTAACAAATAAAAGTTTTCCAAAAGGTCTTTATTTCTTGACAGGGATTGGGCTTGATCAAGTCGTTGTGATACTGAGTCACTTAAACTTTCAGTTGCAATATTAGTCAAAAATTTAACCAATTTTCTTTTCCTTGATACTATTTTCTTCGCCATGTAACCTGAAGTGAAATAAATAAAATAATTAAATTCTATATTCATATTTTATGACTGAATGATACACTTAAAATTATTAATTTTTTATTTATACATTTTTATTTTAATCTTTTAATGTATTCACTTTGATAAGATAACAAATAAAGTGGATGTCATCAGAGGAAGAGTTCCAGAAAAATGTAACCTTAACAGTAAAGGACTTGTTGATAAAACCATTGAAGTGTAGTGGAACTGTAATATTGGGATTAGGTGAAGAACAAAAAACTCTTATTGTGATTTGAGGTAGATATTGAAACTTTTTCTAATTATGTCTAAGAATAAACTGAATTTATCATACCTGTTTGCTTTTTTTATACATGTGCTACCTTTTGGCATCATTTGTTTCACCGCATTAGTATTAGAATCAATTCCTGAAAAGAAGCAATAGTTATGAATGTTATGGTCTTAAACATAAATTAAATTTACAATGTATGCTTCTCTGTATTGTATGTCTAAATTAAATACACATAACCATCCTCGAACTGATGCAGTTCCAGGTATGCAGTGACACCTCCAGTTCACAGCCTGTTTTTAAGCATTTAAAGTATTTTTTCTATTACCTGATATATAAGTACTTCTTTTAATTTGATCCCTACATAAATGTATAAAAAATTATGCCCAATAAAATTTCACATACCTTTATTTTCTACAACTGTTGCAACAGTTGAAAAATTTGAACATGAAGGCTGTTCATGAGAACCTACAACATCTGAAATTTGTTACAAGTTTGCATTTTTATAGATGTCAGTATGCTTACGCAAACATATTATTAGAAAATAAATGTCTAAGAATAAACTGAATTTATCATACCTGTTTGCTTTTTTGTACATGTGCTACCTTTTGGCATCATTTGTTTCACCACATTAGCATTAGAATCAATTCCTGAAAAGAAGCAATAGTTATGAATGTTATGGTCTTAAACATAAATTAAATTTACAATGTATGCTTCTCTGTATTGTATGTCTAAATTAAATACACATAACCATCCTCGAACTGATGCAGTTCCAGGTATGCAGTGACACCTCCAGTTCACAGCCTGTTTTTAAGCATTTAAAGTATTTTTTTCTATTACCTGATATATAAGTACTTCTTTTAATTTGATGCCTACATAAATGTATAAAAAATTATGTCCAATACAATTTCCCATACCTTTATTTTCAACAACTGTTGCAACAGTTGAAAAATTTGAACATGAAGGCTGTTCATGAGAATTTCCAACATCTGAAATTTGTTACAAGATTGCATTTTTATAGATGTCAGTATGATTAGGCAAACACATTATTAGAAAATGAATGGTTAGTAAATTTATGAAATAGTTAGAAAGCTTTTTTTGCTACTTAGTAACTAGTGCTACATGAATATTAGTACACACCTGACGATCCAATCTCTACCAATGATTTGGAACAATCATTTTGCTCTTTGTAGTAATTGTGTTCAATCGTAACATCACTTCCTGAAAACATTATTCAAAATGTTGAAAAATTTGCCACTGACTGTAATTTAAATAAAATATTTTTAGAAATCAGTGTTCATCATAATATGTTTACTATGATTTACAATTAACATCAATTAAGATATTTGTACATACCAGGCTTTCTAACCACTAACACAGCTTCTGTGAAATCATCTTCATTTTGCTCTTTACAGTAATTATGTTCAGTTGTGACATCCCATCCTGAAAAAATTACACTATCATAGCAAATAATGATGTAGAGTCAATGACACTTACAAATGGTCGTACTTTTATCTTGTTAATACTTGGGCCCAAGAATGTATAGAGACGTCTCCTTCTCTTTTAAGTACCATGGTTGAAAGTAATAAAATAACTCACCAGTTGCAGTCAGAGGCACACCATGAGCTATTTCATTGTCAGTAAGCAAGGACGGGTAAGAGTATCGAAGTCTTCTGCCTTCATTGCCGAACTGAAATACATCAAAATGTTTTTCACAGACACGTTTGTTAAGTAACTGTTCTTTGGAAAGTACAATGAGCTGTGGATTTGTCGGCACTATGAAAGCCATCCACAAGTTCCTTAAATTATCGTTCCTAGGTAATCTGAAAAGCCGGTGCGTTTCACGTGTTGTATTGCAACCACCAACACAACACTTTTCGTATACCATTATGATGATATATGCAATATTCACACGAGCAGCACAAAAAACAGAATATTGTAATAATTGAGAAAAATTTAGATAAATAATGGCGGCAATCAATATCGATAGTTTTGATGACAATATGATTTGACATTAATAGAATATGGCGTCTCAAAATGGCGTCCGTAGGCAGAGTAAAAATTGCGACGGTAGGGCCAAGTTGCGTAGAATGGAACTAAGCTGTCACGGGCCTGTCCATCACTCCATATTTTCTCGTGGGTGTTGTAAAAGTTAACTATGGCCAATACTTCAGGTATTGGCCATAGTAGATCTCTGGACCGGTGATGAAAATTAGTATGCATCTGGTCCAGCGATCACCAGTCCATCAGCGAAGTGTAGCGATGAAGGGAAAAATTCTTCCTGATGACGGACTGATGAAAAAGAAGCAATTTCATTACCATTACCCGCTTTATTGCCCGCTTTTTATTCATTTATTTACGGTTTACCGAAACTCAATGTTACAGCAGGATGTGTCTTATGACGATGATGGACGACGACCTGGAAACAGACGAAGGAAGACGATGTATATAGGTGACTCAGGATCGTGCTTTGCAGCATTCCTCGATGGTGGAGGTCTTTGTTCAGAATTTGACTTGCGAAAGACTGTAATTAATGAATGTCTCATAATCTTAGATCTGTAATAAAACAACAAAAACGACTACAAAGAACAGAACAAAACAAAGTAAGTATACTACAAACCTGCCACAGTCTATTGCTACTTCTGCTACGGAATCTTTATGCTTGGTCAATTGTGCTAGTTATGCTGCGGATTACGGATAGCGTAACGGAATATTTAACAAAGAGGTACTCCGAGGGCATTGAATACTATGATAACTTCATCACTTTATTTAGTCATCACAGGGAACACGCTTCAGTTTTCTTTTCATTTTGGCGTATCGTACCGTTCGTACCTGACCCGGAAATTGTCATAGTTTAACAGTATTGACCTATTGAGTTGGATTCGTCGGGATGTTTTTCAACTTTTATAGAACACATTTTGCATTAATATACAGGGTTATTTTGCAATATCCGGCCAAATTTGCAAATAGGCAAATGGTGAAGAAAAATTCATTAAAAAACTTTTAAACGTTCTGTCCTTTTTATCTTTTAAATTCAATTACGTGGTAATGCATTACTTGTAGCTGATTTTACAGCGCATGCACACATTTGTGAGGGTCGGCAAAGACGTTGTCTTTCATAAACCACATTCAATTTGGGATAATTTCAAAGATTGTCTCACCGAGAAACGATTAGTGGGGAAAAGTAGACGAACAAATTCTAAAGAATCAACTGTCCCACCTGTGGGATATTTGGTGGGAAAAAGTAGAATAAACGTTATTTTTTTAAAAACTGCAATAACAACCTATCATTATTTATTTATTTGAACTTAACTTTAAAATTTGACTACTCTTTGAAAAATAATCCTGTTTAAACCGTTTGTCGAGAAATTCCTTTACAACATCTATCTGATTATATTATGTCACCATTGTAAAAGTAAGCGCCATTAGTAAAAACGTGTCTAGTTCACACGTGTTAAGAGTGAAATCTTTAAATGAAATAAAATATAAAATAAATTTGACGGCGAATGATTCAATAATATTATGAGATAGGAAAAACACTGTATACTGTTTGTTCTATGTCATTATTTCGCAGGTTAAATCTTTACGAAATATTTGTCTCTTTAGTATAACAAGCTTTTTCATTTCAACGTGTATCAAATCACAAAGATTTTAAAGAAGTTTTCTTTCACTTTAAAAAAATCAGCTAATTAGGAAAATTTACCTTGGCGCTATATCGTGTTACATACGTCGAAAATAGGTATATGTACACTCGAATTAATACTTAATACTGTTCTTTTTTAAAGCTTCAAAAATTTTAATTCTGCGCTAATTCGTAATATAAGATCAGATTTTATCTACAAATGTTTTAATAGGTTGCCAGTGGTTATCTGTTACTTCATTATTCGAACACAGAAAAAAAATACTGTGAAGTTTAAAAATATAGGTTTTCATTTTGCGAATGTTTGAAATAATCTAAATTGGTATTTAACAACACATGTTAAAAAGTGGCGAAATAAGCCATAATATTTTATAGGTTAATAGTGATGCATCTGGTTCTTTCAATATAAGACCGGTTTAGAATTAAAGCAGGAGTGGTCTAAATTGATCGTTCCAAATCGGTAACCTTAAAAATATTTATCTGAGATTGTGTAGCTTATTTACTTACGTTGACCTGATTAAAAAAAGTACCTAGGTGTAATATAATTTTTTTTAAAGAATAAAATACCTAGCAAACGTGCTAATAGTTCAACGATTTTGTAAGATGGTATGTCTCGCATACCATGTTATATCTATCTAAATATTTGTTTTTAATTTATGCAAATTTATTAGCACGAATAACGACCAAATAAAAGTTTGGAATAATTAAAAATATATTATTCATCATGGCTGCAAACATTTAGTGCAGAAAAGGATTCATTTACATTACCCTTTGTTCTCTTTTCTTAATTTATTCTTCAGAAAACGTTCCATATTTTGCTTTAATCTTAACAAGGATAACTGTTGTGTTTAACCTAAAATGGTCTGATGAGCTTTGTTGCAACAGTTTGTCTTATATATTTCTATTTAAAAAATAGGTTATTCAAAGTTAAGAATGTTGTATTTTATCTAAATAAATAATATCTTTCATGAAATATCATTATACCTCTGCGCACGTACGTCGTTTTCGTAAGCAGTAACGGTAGTCATTAACATTTCTCTTCATTTATAATTTTTTTTACTTATTTACATTCATTACAATTCATCTTTTATAATATACAGGGTGTGACAGCCGGTTTGGTTTCACTTATAGAACGTAAATTCAATGAAAAATAACATTTTTTTTAGTAAGATCTCAATTTTTCAAAAAAAAAAAAAAAACAAAGGGTAGGAATTTTTGCCTGTCCTAAGCTAGGATGAAAGTATGAAGCAAAAGTTACATCACAGGTTATGTGTACCTATTGTGTTTTTATTGGAATGTTGTGTGGGCGGTGATCTTTGAGTGATTACGTCACTCGGGCGAGGCTGTCCATGAATTTACGGACGGTGTCGGACAGAAACATTTTAAATTTTATGAAAGAAAATAGCGTTTTTTTTTTTTAAATTCGGATAAATATTTTTATATTAAAGCCAACTACCTATGGTTTTTGTGACAACGTTGCTTACACTTACACCTTGTATAAGTAAAAAATTGGTCTTTAAGAAGTCTTATTTATACAAATATCATAGTAGTAATCCATTTCCAATCGAGCCGAATTATTATTGCTATAAACAGTTTCAATTATTTTTTTTAAGTAATTGATTGACATGATTAAATAAAATTAGCCTTACTCTTTATACAATCACTTATCTGCCAGTGAAAGTCACGAAAAATTCTGTACAGCCATTCGAAAATAAGCCGGAACAAACAGGGAGAAAGACGACTTTTTAAAATTGTTTTCTTTTATAAGACTATATTTTATTTTGTTACTTTGACATTACAGACACTTCCAATTTTATTTAGTTGAACAGGTTACTTTAAAACCCTACTATCTAACCCTTTCAGGTATAAATGAAGAAGAAGGGTAGCATTATATATTACATTAGCCATAGAATATTTAATTTATATACCTTTAAGGCTTAAATCGTAGTGTTTCACGGTCGCTTAATTCATGACATCATAGCATGTTTTAAATTTACTTCCAAAGAACTTAAATTATTTTAAATAAATTTTAGAAGATTGTACATTTCTATATATTATTATCTATGATTTAAGAAACTACATCTGTGATTTCAGCAACTACTAAGGAACTTGCTACACGTTGAGACTTAAACTTTTTTTTATCGGCGAAGCTAACAATTCCGAATGTCGTTTTAAACCGAACTTGACCACCTTATTTCCACCTCTTAGTGTAAAAAAAGGGATGAAGTTTTTAGACGACATTTCAGTTGTTTGTTACCTTGAACTTTTAATGTTCTTTAGTCAACTTAAAAGGGTAAAAAATATCAGAATCTTAAAAGAATCTCCACATTAAAGCTTCTGAAATCGACGTTTAAATTATTCTAATGCATAGTATATACAGCCTTAGTACTGACTTTAGAAACTGTGGATTTTATAATATAATAATTTTAGTTCTTTGTATTTGCCTTTATTTTTAATCAAAAGTTTAGTTTTAAATTTGTGTTTTGTTAGGATATATAATATTATAAACTAATTACATGACACAAATCTAATTTTTTGCTATATTAATATTTACAATAAAATAATAACAATTTCTTATTGTAAATAAGTATTTGGTAACTATATTGGAATTAACCGATAGTTTTGTAATTAAGGAGTTATAACTTTGAAGACGAGAATTGACTTAGAAATAGATCTTCCTTTCATGTCAAAGGTTGCTTGAAAATATAAACTTAAGAAAACTTGGAAATGGTATTAGTTAAAGTCACCTTATTAATCTACAACTTTATAAATCAAAACTTTTTCTTTTAATTGGTGGTCCAAACCCTCTTTTTAGATAACGAGAATTTCCATCTTAGTCTTCAGGGGTGACAACGCATCTGCATTTTGATTGATTTGATTTTGACGAGCACATAGTCCACCTGATGATAAGTGGATGCTGTGGCTCATGGACATCGACATTTAACCTCGATTAAGAATCAAAATGCAGATGCGTTGTCACTCTTGAGGACTAATATGGAATACCTCGATTCCAATAAAACGGGTCTCCGGTTCTCCACACTTACGAAACACAGTAGCATTAAGCTGTGAGAGCGTGGTCCTTCCCCGGTCGAGTCGACCCATTCGTGCAACAACTACAATAGCTGTAGCGTTACACAAATCTTTTTCCTCAGTCCGTAAAAGGCCACCTTTTACGACATGTTTAATATTACCAACGTTTTGCCTTTATCGTCACTATTGGCAGACGGATTTTACGCTGGCGTAATCAT